CAGGTGACTTAACTTCCACCGCCATCTCCCTCGGACAGCTAACGAAGTCCAATTAGGTATTCTCGCGCCTCTCTGGTGTTGGCTATGGATGTTTCTTCAGTTCCGTCCCAAGGGAAGCGATGATCACACTCAAGGGCATCCGCACTCACGGAAAGCACGTTGTCATAACTGCGAATGTCGAGCTTATATTCGTTAATATGCGTATAAAGTCGGTCGCCTCCAGGACCAATAGCTATTAACCAACGATGGTACCTTGCTACTTTTTGAAAAAGAAATATATATGCGAAAGTGGTTTAATTGTCAGGGGATTCCTTCGAAAATGCCCCCCCCCATACAGGTTATAGAGAGTAAAATGTCAGGAGCCTTGGTTCTCCATTTGAGCAGGAGGCTTGTGGTTGTCTCTGGTGTCTTAGCCGCCTTTACACTAAGCTGACCGGGCATCCATTGAATGGGAATAGCCGACCCAGAGAGGCGAGCTGAATTCTTAGTAGATCACCACTGCCATAATAACGAAAACCCCTGTGGAAATTTATTCAGACGCAGCATTTATTATACTCTGCGGAATGAGTGTATGCGCAATCATGAATGAAGTCAGCATTATAACTTTTTCGATGGATGTTCATTGTTAGTATGCTCTCACTCATTTTAGCTTGCTATTTTGTTGTAGCTGAGAGATGTTAACTCAACTGGTAGAGAGAGCTTTTAGAAGGTTCTCGTAAATGGAAATTAGTCCACGTTCACGAAAACCCAGATAGTTTGACGCTATGTTCATTCAAGTTCCGTAGACGTGATAGTGTTGACTAAACGCCGAGGTGCCAAGATGTTAAGCCGTTAACGCGCACGGGAACCATCAGCTGATATCTATCAGTATATAATTAACAATGGCTTGCCAGCTGTGCCAAATTCAGCATAATTTAATGGCGGAACGCCTGAGACTGACAGTTGTCGCATGCGTCGGATCATGGGCTTATCGATAACAGTATTAATTAGTAAATATTGCAGGTGGCAACAAGCATTTCTGCCTGAAATACTTCAGTAAAGGAAGCTGAAACAGTTGGTTAGTCGGCCACCAAACCTGTCCTTTTAGATAGCTTAGATGAATTTCATAAGACAACAGTGCGTCTGAGGATACATTTAACTTCCTGATGAACCATTAACTATGTCCTAGAAAAGCTCTCAGTAAGACACTGCTACTAATTGAGAAGAAGACTCGATCGCTGGGACAATACTTTATCCGCCTGACGTTTCCAAATACGTCATGGATTCATCATCAGAGATATTAGCAGAAAAAGGTAGCAGAAACGGGTTATAAAAGCGCAGGAGCTTGCATTATTTATAGGATACAGTTATTGCTGCAAAACACACCTATAGTTAATGTTAATTGCCTTCTTTCTCATGGATAGTTTGTTGGACGGCATGCGGGCTCTAATCTGTTGAACTTTCGTCACACGTGGTGGACTCGGAAGTGATGATTGCTCGGCTACCTGACTGCTCTCAGGACTCGAGAAACAAGACCCAAGGCAAAGTGAGACAAGTGATTTCCGTTAGCTGTCGCTGAACGTCTATCAGCGCATGTCAACCATTGAGATGTCAGCAGTAAGTTTGAAATTGGTATCGAATTTCAAGCCCCTTAGATTTGCGAGGTTATTATTCTCTATCTTAGTGTAAGAGGCAGGTCCATCTAAAAAAAGGCGACGGAAGTGCGTTTTATCCAACTTTCAGAGATATTTATACGAAGTGAGACGCATCCTTGGATTTCACTGGCTTCCCAAAAAGAACGCCGAGTAGTTTGACAACAATTAATCTCTATGATAGTATTGAAAATGCTATCCTCAGGTGGTAAATCAGAAGAAGGAAGAACGTTCATCGGCAGGAGTGTATTAGAGATATGAGGTTTTGGAGGGTTGTGTCGTTTATCCGCCTTCAGAGAGAACACGCATGCTCACGTTTCATGTTATACGCCGCTAGTTGCCGTAAGCACAGCCTACCAGTAACGACCGGCATCCTTTCGTCACTTGTTTCGCCGCAGCCCTATCCCTCTTTGACCGCCCGTGGTAGTGAGACAGCTGCCACTGTCGCCATTGCTTGTTTAACGCCCGCGCTCCTTGGCCGCCCGCTGTAACGCGTCGAATCGGGTCTCATCATAGTCTGCTTCACCTCCGGGTACCTATTGACCGCGTAGCGAGTTAGCCCCCCCGATTGTTTTTACACCGCGAATGTCACCTAATAAGTTGAATTATCAAAACGGCTAGGGTTAGGTAAATTGATGCGGCGGTTTGTTGTGCAGTTGATCGACATCTAGGGTTCATGAGTCTGCCTTGATACGTGATCGTTGTCTGGGTCAACAACTTCAGCAGGGTTAACATTGTAAACGTGGCGCATCTGCGCATAGTGAGTTGCTACCTCCAATTTGGATCAAAACTACCTATGTTCAACTCATGCTCATGCAATAGCGTTTGTAGCTGTCGGCCGGTTTCGCCAATTAAGCTGCAGGTCTTGCAACTACACTGAAGTCGGTAAACAATGGCTGACTCTTCCTGCTTAGGAATAGGTTCTTTCAGCCGCCCCACTTGTACTTACTTAGTTGTTACGTCTGTGATCATGCCTGATCTAGCCGGCCTCGATGATGTCACGGACGGTACCTCGCCATGCAAAACAATTGGCGGCAGCGGATCTGAAGAGTTCTACCCAGCGCCAGAGACCGAATACTGAAGGTCAAAAAACCACTGCCATGTCCTGACGCACTGAGTCGAGCCAAGTTTTGAGTTGATCACCTCTTCGACGTTTCCAAGTAGGCAACAGTTTAGAGTCGAGGGTGGTAACACTGGGCTCTTGAGATTGACGACGTGCCCAAGCCACCTCAGTCGTCTTTCCTGCACGGCCTGGGATATCCTTGCGATTTTGTCGCAGT